ATGTCTGAAAGGAGTAAGATGGTATCTCATTGTAGTTCTGATTTGCATTTCTCTGATGTTTAGTGATTTTTTCCATAGGTTTGTGGTGATTTTAATGCCTTATTTTGAAAAACATCTGGTTATGTCCTTTACCCAGTTTTTAATGAATTATTTGTTGTTTTCTTGTTTGAGATCCTTGTATATTATTGATATTAGGCCTTTTTTAAAATAAATTGTTTGTGAACATTTTCTCTCATTCTGTAGGTTGTCTACTTTGTTAATTATTTCTTTTTCTTTACAGAAACTTTTTAATTTAATGAAGTCCCATTTGTTTGTTGGTTTTTGTTGCATTTGCTTTTAGGGCCTTAGTTGTGCATCCTTTTCCTGGGTCAATGTCCAGAAGAGATTTTCCTAGGTTTTTTATTCCCATAATGTTTATAATTTTGGATAACTGTAATTCACCTTGAGTTAATTTTTTTATATGGTGAGGGATAGGGGCCAGTCTTCTGCATATGGCTATCCAGTCTTCCAAACATCATTTTTTGGGGAAAAAAAGATGTTATTTTCCTACTGCATGTTTTGTTGACTTTGTTGAATCGGTTGGTTGTGAGTATGTTGGTTTATTCTTGGGTCTCTATTCTGTTACACTGATCTGTGTGTCTGTTTTTATACCAGACTCACACTCATTTGTCTGCTATAACACTGTACTATAATTTGAGGTCAGGCGATGAGGTACTTTCAGATTTGTTCTTTTTCCTTGGGATTGATCTGTTCGTTTCAGCTTTTTATTTTGTCATTCCATATGAAATTTCGGATTTTGTTTTCTAACTGTACAAATATTATGTTGGTATTTTGATAGAAATTGCATTGAATTGTAGATTATTTTGGACAGTAAGGTCATTTCAACAATTTTAATTTTTCTAATCCATGAGCATGTGATGTTTTACCGCATGTGTTATCTATACTTTTTGCAACAATGTCTTATAGTTTTTCTTATATTCCTAGTTGTTTTTTGCTTTGTTTTGTTTTTCTATAGCTATTGTAACTGAGATTGACTTCTTGATTTGGTTTTTGGCCTGATCATTATTAGTATTATTAGTGCATATAAATGCTATTGACTTTCTACATTAATTTTGTATCCTGAAACTTTACTGAATTCATTTATCAAATATAAGAGTTTTTTTTTTATTTTTTTGAGGTGTATTTAGAGTTTTCTTGGTGCAAGATCATGTCATCAGTGAGCAGTGTAATGTATGACTTTGCCTTTACCAATTTGATGTCCTTCCTTCCTTCCTTTCTTTCACCTGCTTGTCCTGGGCAGGACTTGCACTGTGTTGACTAGGAGTGAAGAAAGTGAGCGTCCTGCTTGTTCCTGTTCTTCAGAGCGGGGCTTTCAGTCTTCCCTGTGAAGGGTGATGTTGGTCATGGGTCTGTTTTACATTCTTTATTATTTTGAGCTATATCTTTTGCATGCCTATTTGTGGAAATTTTCTTTTCAAGATGGGTCCTGAATTTTATCAAGTACTTTTTCTGCATTTATTAAGATGATCATGTTGTTTTTGTTTTTTAATTCTCTTTATGTGATTATGTTTATTGATTTTCACACACTGAACCAGCCTTGTATCCTTGGAATAAAACTCACTTGATCATGGGGTGTTATCTAATTTATGTACCATTGAATTCAGTTTTCTAGTCTTTTGTTGAGACTTTTTGCATGTATATTCATCAGTGATATTGGTCTATAGTGTTCTTTTTTGTTGCCTTCTTGCCCGACTTTGTTATCAGGGTGATCTGGCTTCACAGAATGTGTTAGAGAGGGGTCCCTGCTTTTCTGGTTTTGGAAACAGCTTCAGTGAGCTTGGTCAAGTTCCTTTATGTATGTCTAGTTAATCCATCCAGGCATGGGATTTTTTGTTGAAAGACTTTTTATTACTAACTCAATCTCAATACTCATTATTGCTACGTGGAATCATTCATAGTAGACTCTGATGATCTTTTTGTATTTCCGTGATATCAGATTTTATCAGACATATTCCTGCATGGAGACTTATCATACCAAGGATATTGGAAATTCAATTAATTTGATCTTGATAAAATGAAATTATATCTAATGTAATAAGTTGGTTGTCAATTTATACTGTTCCTTGATCAATTTTTTCTTTTCTAAATGCTACCAAACCCCCTTAAAATTTTTCTACACGTATTGCAGATTGGACCAGTGTTAAGTGTAAGATCCTATAGTGAATGGAACATACTTTCTGTTACAGGAAACAAGATCTTTACTAGATCACTCCCTGTCTTTTGATAACTTTTCCTTTTTCATGATCTCAAAGATCAGTCAAAAAATACGCACTACCTTTAGAGCTTTAGACTTTATGGTCGTCTTCCTATCAATCTGTTCTGCTGTCACATATGTATAAAAACAAGGAAGGAAAAAGTGTTTTAAAAGGTGACACACAATTATAGGTGGATGCATGGAGAAAAATAAATGGAAGTGCCAACGAAAGTTCTGAAAGAAACTGGCCAGCTAGCTACTTAATTTCTGACCTTTTATATTTCATGATTCTGCCGATTAACTTCATTTGTGATAAAAATTGGAAATTTCATATTTGACCCATATACTTTTTTTGGTTTTCTTATTCTTTCGGGTCAATGTAAAAGAATAAGTACTAGTTGAAACAGAATCACTTGATTGTATAGTGATCATCATGGGTGGGATAAAAGTGTGACATATAGGAGAATGAAATGGCCCATTTCTGTGGTTCAAATGAAGTTAAATGTGATTTTTAACATGCGACAAATTGCGTTGTTGGTGAGACAGAGAGAAGTTACCCAAACAGAGCAAAATTCTTAGTAGTAGGAAGATAAAAGAATTTACAGAAGAATTTGAAGTTGATAAAGGATTTGGAGTTGTTACAAATTTGATTATGATATAGTGTTCTGCATTATTTTGGTTGTATTTGTTCAGTAGAAGGGATTGGGTTTAAATGAGAATAGAGACATTATTTAAAATTATGTCATATTTTGATAATAGGCTCTGATACTGTGTTATTAAATTATAATTATTCTTGACAACATTAAGAGAATTTCTAAATACAAAGAGAATATATGAGCTCAAAAGTACCTACATATTTGAATTTATAGCAAAATTTAGTGTTTCATCAAATAACAAATGGAAAAGAAATTGTCAGTGTAAGAGTTGATGAATGAAAGATTCTTTCAGTAAAGAATAAAAGCTGAAATTCATTCCAGGACCTAATCATACCCTGTACATGTAATAAACACTAAAAACTCCTTGCACCATGAGTTAAAGCATAGAAAGAACTTGTTTTCAGTAAGTAAATTAGAAAATATTACATGTGAAATTTAAAAGTTAGAAACTTTAGGATATGTAATTAAATGTATCTGTGTTGTGTGATAAATTTGGGCTGGACATTATAAATACAGGGAACCAGGGCACAAAACCCAGTGGCTTTTCTGTACTGTTGAATAATATTCGAACAAGTGGACTGGTCAAAAATAGTGGGGGGGAATGTGCGGATGAATTCTCTATTTCAACATTCTATCAGCTGTGATGTGCCAGAGAGTTTATCCGACTTTTCTCTCCTTGGATGAAGGTGACACCATTCACCAAAACTAGGAATTAAATACTTGTAGATTTAGAGGGGGAAATAGGTAGGACTTTAATTGTCTTGAGTATGAGATGTTTATGAGATTTTTTAGGGTGAAAGAACAGTTGTTGTTATGATTATTAAATGAGTTAATGTCTTTGATGAGTTAAAAATGATGGCAAATATTATCTCAGTATCTCATAAACAAATACATAAAAGCAAACATCTCAGAAAGAATATCTGTCTAAAGATAAATATTTGTGAGTCTTCAGAATTTAGATCAGTGTTTCTCATCAAGGAAAGCAAAATTTCCTAGAAAAATTTTTCAATATCCAAACACATATCCCCTTCTAAGGTTGATTTTTTTTTTTCTGTGACAGAGACTATTGGTGGCCTACAAATGTCTAACACTTTCTTCCTTATTGGTAATAGGCCTCCAATTTTATGCCAGGCAGCAAAAAACCAAGAAAAAGGCCACATTCACTCCACTCCCCTTTGTAGCTCTGGGAGGCCAATGAGATATAAACAAAAGTCATTTGAAGAACCTCAGAGAAGGCTCCTAAGGACACATGGTTTGTGCCCTTTGCCATTTCGCTTTCCCTCCATCTTCCTCATAGAAATGCAGATATTGCGTTTGGAGCTCTAGGACTTAGGTTGACTCATTAGAAGACTTGGAGGGCAGAACCTAATTAGATGCAATAAGGTGGGGATGAGAAAAGACTTTTGAAAGAGCCCAGGTCCCTGGCAATCTGGTGATGCCTCTGTAAAGGTTCTGGATGGACTGTGAGGAGATAACACCGTATTGTTAAAGCATCCCAGCCAGTTTACGGACGTCACATAGTTTCCATCTGCTGGTGGCCCCATTCTCTGTGAAGCTCTTCTTCAGGATCTAACCTGTTAATCTTCCCACATGTGTCTGATCCCTTTGTACCTTTGAGATCTGTGATCATTCTGCCCCCCTTTCTCTCTTTCTTGTTATGTTACTGCCCCTCTTTTTTTTTCTTTTATTATTGCCTTTTGTGTTCTGTGAATTAATTGTGTTTCTTTCTTTCTTATCTGAATCTTCCTTCAGACTCTCTACTCTCCTTCTCCTCCTCCTCCTCCTCCTCCTCCTCCTTCTTCTTCTTTCTCCTCCTCCCCTATTCCCTTTGTCATGATGCACACCTGGCAGGTCCATTTCCTTTCAATCTTCTTGTAGTATTGACCAAGGTACATGAGGACCTGTTGATAGGGCAGTTTATTGAAATTATACACAGTGGAGCTTTGTCAATTTTGTTCTTAACTCTGCTTGCCTTACAGGTTTTTGTTGAAAATCAATCTTGAAAATGTATGATGCATGTGAGAGCTCTTTGAGAACTCTAAAATACGTGAGATATTATCATTGTCATTGCTTTTATTTTGTCTTTGCAGAATATATATCCTCCTGTTGACTTTAAAAGTTATAGTGAGTACATAAAACATGTACCCTCTATTTTATATGAATTAAAAACCAAAGATATTGGCATGAAACCCAAAAAATCAAGACATCTCATTCAAAAAGGTTAGTTATATATACATATATATGTACATATACTTTTGAAAATTGTATTTATAAATGTATTTTGATGAAATTTGAGGGGTTTTTTTCCAAAATAAGATTTAACTAATGTTCTGCCTGTGAGATTTAAGAAACAGCCAACATTCTTAGCAAAATTTGATACAAAGGCTTTAATTTTGTATTCCTAGTTGTAGCCAGGTACTCTACCCTCTTGTATCTTCAGATGTGTCTAAATTCCCTAGATTTAGAACCGGTCTGGTTTAACCTTTGAGGAGGGTGAGACATTAGTTTCCTGTCATGGCAAAAGGGTGGAAGCGTCTTCTCTGTACATGAGGTTGCTCGGAGGATCAGTTCATTTAGTCAGAGAAAAGAAATTATAGTTAACATTCTGAAAGGCAAAATTTTTTGTTGAAAGAGAGACACATCCAAGAGGAAAAGGCATTTTTCACCCTATATAATTTCAACTCATGCTTTTCAAACAACAGTGTCAACCAGCTTCCAATTCCTACTTTTGCGTTTACATTGAGCACAAGCTTTTTTTGTTGCTGGCCCACTGCAAATCTTAAATGTTAAATTTCTAGTGTCTGTTCTCAGGTACCTTTCACTCACTGACTTAAACCTTCCTAATGTGTTTTTGGTGTCACTGGTATGTTCCAACTTTCTTTTTTGTTGTCTTTTGAAATTAAAAAAAAAATTTTGATAATGGTATTGGGGGATGAGTAGGGAGCAGAAGAAAAAAAAAACATATATCATTTGAACTCTATATTGAGCTTTTAAATTTGTTTTATAAATGTGAACACAGGACAAGTGTGAAGGAAAAGAGAAATAGAGAAGGGGAGAGGAGCGGGTTTGGAGATACCTCCTCTTCCAGGTGAGGGATGCCGGGACCCTTGGAGAATGTCACTCAGAGCCGTGCTGAGTGCAGCCCTGCTGAGTGCTCACCGACCTTCCTCTCAGGCAAATGCTCTACCCATCAACATCAAATGGGTAATGAAAATTAAAATGTGTTGGCCATCCCAGGGTCAAATAATGCCCTGTTGAAACATTAAATTTAGTTTACTATTTCTGTTTTAGAGATGAGAAAAATTAGTTTAGATAGCCAATTTATCCAAGGTCACCTAATCCCAAAGTGGCAAAGGTGGCACTATTTCCTGATCTGTTTCTTGACTCACAGTCAAGTGGTGCCCATCTCCTTCACCACCGCACCTCCTGAGGACTAGAAGTGCATTGCTTGGTAATGATTAAGGCTTGTGCATGGGAAAATAGTTACGTTAGATTAAGATACCTAAATCCATAAAATTTAATAAAATCTTCCATTCCTTACGTCTGTCTAGAGCTACACGTTTTATATAAAATTATACTAATTCTTTCCTGAGTTTATTTTTTAAATTTCTGATATTAAATTTAAAAAGCCATAGGAAGTGCAGGGTATTTTACTTACCTAAAGTCATTATAATAGGAATAGTTATAATAAGATTAGTTTATCATTTTTCTATACTTCTTTAATTTAAATCATAGACAATTAAATTATACACATTTTTAACAAAATGATTATTTTAATAACAGCCAAAAGCTGTACTTATATTGCTTGAACAGATTACTTTTATTTGGCATGAGTTTTAGTGAATTCAGTATTGAGAGTCACTTTTTTTATCTTTCACTGATTAATAATGTTTGTTACTTTTTTCCCAACATTTCAGATAAATATGAGGGTCCCAATGATGAGGTTATATTGTTTGCCTTTCCTAGGTAAAGTTCAAGTTGTAGTTGACCCCTTCTTACAACTTTTGTTACTTTTTAATTATCTCATTTTTCTATTTAAGATTAATTATTATTATTATTATTATCATTATTTTTTGAGACGGAGCCTCAAGCTGTCCCCCTGGGCAGAGCGCCGTGGCATTACAGCTCACAGCAACCTCCAACTCCTGGACTCAAGCAAGTCTCCTGCCTCCGCCTCCCAAGTAGCTGGGACCACAGGCACCCGCCACAATGCTGGGCTATTTTTTGGTTGCAGCCATCATTGTTGTTTGGCGGCCCAGGCTGGAGTCGAACCCACCACCTTAGGTGTATATGGCTGGAACCTTAGCCACTTGAGCCACAGGTGCCAAGCCGAGATTAATTATTTTTATCAATTTTTGCATAGTTGCACATATTCAAAATTATATAGGGTGAAAAATGCCTTTTCCTCTTGGATGTGTCTCTCCTTCAACAAAAATTTTTGCCTTTCAGAATGTTAACTATAATTTCTTTTCTCTGACTACTCTTAGTTATGGGCTCGAGAAACTTTAGTTTGGAAGATTTGGAGGTTTGACAGTCTTTCTTCTACCATTTAGGTGTTCATACTAAATAATAGTGTGTTAGACATACAAACCCTTTCTGGATTCCTTACCTATTCCACTAAATTCAAAGTGATCAATGCTGGTAGGATTGGGAAGAAAAAGAGGCAAGAATCACATACGAAATAGCCCCTTTTAAATTTCATAATTTTCATTAGAAGAATCATTTTTAATTCCATCTTCACATTTTCAAAAATGTTCCATTTCCTTGATAATAGAAGAATTCTCTAATCATTGGTTAAGAAATGAACATGATATGTTGAAAATTTCACTGTATAAACTTTGGATTTGTTTGTTTCTGTCCAATTCTATCAAATTTTGTTTTCTACATTTGATGTGATTTTAAGGGCTTAAATGATTGTAATTGTTTCATATTCTTGTTGAATTAATATTTATCACCTTAATCCATAGCAATGCTTTCTCACTATACTCTATTTCTCTGATATTATTATAACTATATTAACTGTATTTTAGTTAAAATTTTCCTATTGTATTTTTCCATGCTTTTACCTTTGACTTTTTGTTTTATTGTGTATTGTATAGACAGCAGATACCTAGATGCACTTATTTAGTTAATTGGTGTGGATTATATTCATTTAGGTAGCCAGAGTTATTTCTATACTCTACTTATATTTTAAGTTTGTTACATTCATTTTATTTTTCTTTGTTATTTTTTAATAATTGTACCTTCTCATACTTTTCTCATTTTCTATTAAAATAATTTTTAGTTATAAAAAGGTACAAAAATACAAATTATTTTTAAATAACCTTTATCCATCTTCCCAAATGGTATCATTTTATAAATTACAGAACAGTTATCAAAACTAGGGAGCTAATGTGATTTGATACTAACAGTTTATCTATGAACCATATTCATGCTTTTTTAATTGTCCAACTATATACATAAAACATTTTTCTGGTCCAGGGACCAATGAAACTTGTGCCTAGATTTTAATTATGTTATCATAAATACACTCTCTCTGTTTTGCTTATTTGGTCTTACTTCTTTCTTTCTTTTCTTTCTTTCTTTCTTTCTTTCTTTTTTTTTTTTTTTTTGGTAGAGAGGAGGGTTTTACTATGTTGCCCAGTCTGGTCTTAAGCTCTCAGACTCCAGTTATCTTCCCACCTTGGCCTCCCAGTGTGCTGAGATTACAGGCAGGAGCCATCATTTGTTCTTACATTTTAAGAAAAAAATTAAGGAAATCTTACCAGCTTATTTGATAAACTTTCACAGTTTTATTCATTGGTTTTTCCAAAAAGCATTTATTGCTTACCTGTATGCACCCAGGATATGGTAATGAATAGGACAGACAGCTGTTCCACAAGCTTAGAAAGCAATGTTCTCTACCCTTCTCAAATGAGGGTACATATAAGATTGATAAAGTTTGTATGGCACATTGAGGTATACTGGGTGGTTTGGGGAACATCTATGTGGTGATACATAATAAGTAAATATATTCTTTTTTCATTAAATAATTATTATAAAGAAAATACATATATTAATCAATATATATGTGTGTGTGAAAAATACATATCTTCCAAATAAGATTTGCCAATCTTTTTAAGAAATATTATATCTATTTTCAGTGTTATAAATTTTTACATCTAGTTGTATGGTTAAAAACATATATGCTACTTTTGATCAAGAATTCTTAGCATGATCTCTTGTTTTTATTTTAGTATGAGGATTTTTTTCTTTTTATTTTATGATTCATAATGCTGCTTGACTTTTAAAAATAAATTCATGTACTAATTTGATAAAACTAATTTAATTTGTGAAAATAGTAGAGTGTTCAACTCTGTTGAATAGTGGCTAAAATATCTTGATATATGATAAAAAAAAAATCCTATTTATTGAATGTGGAACATAGCAGTTGACCCTGACGGGCAAATTCAACAAAGTGACAGAGATGGGAACCATAATGGAGAAGTAAAATCCCTGACAATATTTAACTCATGGGAGTCATTTTAAAGTATAAAATCGCTACATTTAAAATAATTTTAAGCACTGAAAAGAAGACATCAACCTTCTGAGCAACCTAAATCCTACATTATGATCCAAAGATATTTTTAGTGTTATAAATATTTTATTATATTTTTACTTTGAAAAATTAATTAGCTACATATATAGCATAAAGGAACATTCTGATCAGAATTTTTGAATAAACAATACTTTATACTTAAAATTAAATATGAATATTATAAAATTTACGATATATGGTTGGTAAAAAAAAGGAGGGAGAGTGACAAAGGTGGTTAGGCAATTACTCCTCCCTTCCTCCAAGGTGCAGGACATTTGAGTGGATGTCTGTAAGTTAATATTTCTTCTTTATAGTATAGTCTGCTGGTAGACAACTAGTTCCAACTAGGCCAGGAATTTCTTCATTAATAGAGCACAAATGTGAATAATTACTGCCTCACGATATGGGTCATCTCCCTGCAGACCTATCCCCCAGATACTATTCCTCTTGAACACTGACTGTTAATTTTTTTCCCCATTGGTCACAAATCCAAATATGAAGAAATTTAAGAAGCTAATAAAAAAGATTAACCTCTTTGCATTTCAAAAAATGCAAATATGAACACAAATTAATTTTTTTTTGAGACAGAGTCTCAGTGTGTCACCCTTGGTGGAGTGTTATAGCATCACAGATCACAGCAACC